AGAGGAGCTACGCCTCGGGCCCGGGGGAGGTGAGAACGCCGGGGCTCCGGCTGCGGCGTCCGGCCTCCCGGGAAGTGGCCGGGCGAGGCCGCTGACCGGCGAGCCGTGTCCCCGTTGCAGGCCCCAGGGCCCCCGACTGACCGCGGTTGCAGCGCCCTGGACCTGGGGAAAAGTTGCTCCAGCTCCAGGAGGACGAAACGAACCCCGAGCGTCCGTCAGGCCGGTCTCTTGGCCCCTCGCTGCACTCAGCCCCAAAGTTTCCCATTAGTTTGCGCCTTCCGACTTTCCCGGGCAGCGGGCATTCCCTGCTCCCCATTTCAGGTCTTCACGATGGGAACCTTTACGTTATGTTTCCAACTACTTTTGAAAGACTGGTGCTTGCGATGGACCCTTGCGGAGCCGCAGCTGCAGGTGCAGGTCCAACAGGGTGCGAGCCTGGGAGGGCCGGCACTTCGGGGCTAGGTCCCAGGGGCGCGAGGGCGGCGAGGCCCTACTTGGCCGGCTCTCTCCTGGTCCAAAGCTCCAGACCTTTAGAGGAAGGAATGGTTTGCGTGAGCCAGAAAGCCGAAGCTCGGGGTCAAGTGTTAAGTACTTTCTAAGGTCAAACAGCTGGCCTGAGCTCAGCCATTAGATCCCTAGCCTTCACTTTCCCGTGGGCCGTTTTGCCCTTTTCTTTCGTTTTCATTGTAATGCTAACTTGCATTTTGTAATGGTCAGATATTCCCAACCTTGAGAAGACGTACGAATTTTCAAAGTTTTAAAAAATTTTTTGCTTGCTCTGGGGGGCGGGGGAGGAGAAGTGAGAAAATCCTGGGGGTGGGAGTGACCAGCAGATGGCGGAATGGTTACATTGCTGGACTCCCACGTAGTCCGCGGTTGGAGTCCCGGACCTGGCGGCTTAAACTCACGCCCACACAAGGCCGGCTGGAGAGGAGAATGGAGAAGGGATTGCTGCCTGGCCATATCCCCTGGGGGGGTGGTTTCTCACCTTCTGTCTCTCTCTGCCTTTCCAGAGAGCGCACGCGCCCTATAACAAAAAGCAACAACCAAAAAGGTCTTGGAAGTGGGCTGGTGGTATGACCACTCTGCAATACCTTTGCCTTCATTATCCTACGGGATTTGGGGCACTCACTCCCCAACCTGGTGTTTTTCAAGCTGCAGGAGTTTGGGACTTGAACTGGGCAGTCACCACCTGGCTGGCCCTTTTTTTCTTTTTTAATTTGCTGAAGGGTGTGCCCTTTCCAGGGACAGAAACAGCTGTACTGATGGAAATGTGAAGTATTGCCGCCATCGAGAACTGCTGTCTCGACTCTCATCTTTGCAGGCCCCCCACTTCCCCCCTTCCCCCCCTTCCCCCCCCAGATAGCCCCAGGTGGCTTTTCTGACAGCGGGAACAGGGAAGAAGGGAGGCAGCATAGCGTGGGATTTAAGAACTGCCTTTAGAACTGAGTCCTTGGGGCCAGCAGGTGGCATAGTGGTTAAGGGCTGGACTCCCTCATACTGATCCCGGTTTGAGTCCGGGACCTGGCAGTTTGAAACTCATGTGCTTGTCCACACACTGACCTAAGGCAGATTACCTAGCGTCTCTGACCGTGCAGATTTCTGCAGGAATAAGCAAGCACACGTACGTGCTGGGACCCTGCGGTGACCCTATTGCCATTGAATCGTGCAGAGCCTATTGTAGGGGAGTAGCCAGACACGAAGGGATATCTCCGTGGTCCCTTCATTTCACTTTTTTTCCAGGAAATTGCCAGATGAAGTGAAGCATGCGGGATGTGCACACACTCACCAGAGAGATCAGAGGAGAAAGCGCCCTTCGGCAGGGCATGGGCATGCCGCGTCTTTTCTTTATTTCTTCGTTCTTTTGGAATTGGGGCATGCACGCACATGTGTTCAGAATTTTTTTTTTTTTTTTTTAAGATTTTTGCTATAGGATTTTGCTATAGGACACATGCACTCGCCAGAAAGATAGAGAGAGACAAAGAGACAGAAAACGAGAAATCAGCCCTCGGGGGGATGGTCATGCCACAATCCCCACTTCCATTCTCCTTTTTGGATTTTGGGCAGGCATGCATATGTGCCCAGTGTCTGTTTCAAGCCACTGGATCTTGAACTGTGGTTGGTCCATGTTGGAGTCCAGCAATGTAACCATTATGCCCGCTGATGGCCCCCAGAATGTTTCTCCAGGTGCCAGGGCTGAGATTTTAACCATGGTCGGCCATCTGGGATCCGACTCCCTTAACCAATAGTGTATGTGCTGCTCCATGGTCCCATCTGTAACGAATGTTTGAACCCCACAACTGTAGCACTGCCACAGCGGTGAACTTGATTAGGGCTGTGGCGTGATAACCAAGACTGGTTTTAAAATCAAGGACCCAGGAGAAAAATCAGAATACAGCCACGGAAGACAGTAACACTGAAAGAAGAGGTCTACTCCTTTTTTCTAGGCACTTTTGGTTTTTAAAAAAGTATATATTATATTATCATTCTTGTTATTATTTTTAAGTTTGCTATAGGGCACGTGCACTCACCAGAGAGCGACAGAAAGAAAGAGGGAAAGTGAGAAAGCAAGCCTCCAGGTCCGGAGCTCGAACTGCTGTTGGCCATGTGGGAATCCAGCACCTTAACCATCACACCACCTGCTAGGTACTCTCCAGACACTTAAAAAAAATGATTAATTTTTAGAGCAACTTTTTGAGAGAGAGGGAGAAAGAGAGAAAGTGAGAAATCACTCCCCGGAGGGATGGCCACACCGCGGTCCCTCTCCTCCATTCCCCTCGGGATCTTGGGCACACATGCACAGCTTCCTGGTATGCTTTTCAGGCTGCCAGGTCCAGGACTCGAACCACGCAGCCCAGCATGTGGGATCCGGCACCTTAACCACCATGCCACCCGGCTGGCCCATAGATATGACTTTCGTACGCGTTTTCCACTCCTACATCATGCTAGTACTTGAAATGTTTCAGATTTTGGAGCATTTCACGTTTCACCTTTCTGGGGTAGGGCTGCTCAGTCGGTACTGCGCATCTGTAGAAGGGTTCTGGAAAACCCAAGGGAGTAGGACGAGGGCAGGACTAGGTGGAAGAAGCAGGCAAGAAACTTTTGAACATTTGTATATCGATTGTGTCATTGAGTTTTTTTTTTTTTTTTTTAAGTTTTCTGTGGTTATAATTTTTTCTTTTTTACATTTGCTACAGGGAGCATGTGCTTGTGTGGGGGAGAGAGAGAGGAGAAAGAAAGTGAAAAGTGAAAAGTCACTCCCACAATTCTTTCTCCTCTGTTTTCCCCTTGGGGTTTTGGGCATGCATGCACATGTGTCCACGTGATTTTCAAGTTGCTGGGTCTGGGACTTGAACTGCACAGTCGACCATGTGAAATCTAGCCATGGTAACCTCCATGCCACCTGCTGACCCACTGTAATAAATACTTTTTTTTTTTTTTTAAAGATTTATTTATTATCTTAATTTTCAGTTTTGACCCAAGACAGACAGACAGAGAGAGAGAGAAAGCAAGCCACCAGGTCTGGGACTTGAACAGTGGTTGGCCATATGGGAGTCCATTGCCTTTCATCATCACGCTACCTGCTGGCCCCAAATACTTTTTTTTTAAAAAAAGAATTATATTAACTTTACTTATTATTATTATTTTCTAATTAGAAAAAGAGGGAAGTGAGAAAGGAAGCCACCAGGTCCAGGATTTGAACCACGGTTGGCCACGTGGGAGTCCAATGCCTTTAACCACCACGCTAGTAATAAAATCTTAATAGATGGGAGCCAGCAGGTGGCATGATGGTTAAAAGGTGCAGGACTCCCACGTGGCCGACCACAGATTGAGTCTCAGATCCAGCAGCTTGAAACTTGTGTTGGGTACATGCGTGTGCTTACCGAAAATCCTGAGAGGAAAATGGAGAAGGGATTATGGCATGGCCATCCCTCCTTGGGAGTGATTTCTCGCCTTTTCTGTCTCCGTCTCTGTCTCTGTGAGTACATGTACCCTATAGCAAAAATCTCTCTTAAAACAAACAAACAAACAAAAAAAACACAAACAACTTAGTAGGTGGTTATACAGTGGTAAGCCTGATGCTGCCAAGAGGCCGACCTGCTCGAGAAGGTTCCGGGTTGTGTCTGTGGAGCTCCCTCAGTAGGCTGGGCGTACATGTGCCCTTCATCTTGGGGCAGCTGAGGGTGGAATGCACTATTAGGATTGTGTTGGGATTTTGTCTCTCTGTCGCTCATTCATGGAGCAAATAAATACTCATTAAAAATACATTGGTTTTGACCAGCAGTTAGCGTAATGGCTGTGTCGCTGGACTCCCACGTAGTCGACTGCGGTTCGTGTCCCGGACCAGTGGCTTAAAACTCACGCCGGGTACGTGTGCGTGTGTGCCCAAGATCCCGAGAGAATGGAGGAGGAGGGATTGCGGCGTGGCCATTCCCCATGAAGGGTGATTTCTCGTTTTCTATCTCTCTGTCTCTCTCTGTCTGGCGAGCGCACGCGCCCTATAGCAAAAACCTCTCCAAAAAAAAAGAAAACAAAACAAAACATTGGTTATTGCAGTTGATTGCATAATGGTCACGTCCCTGGACTCCCACGTAGTCAACTGTGGTTCGAGTCTCAGACCCAGTGACTTAAAACTCAACCCAGGTGTGTGCACGTGCATACCCAAAATCCCAAGAGGAGAAGGGGTTGAGACATGGCCATCCCCCTGGGGATTGATTTCTTGCTTTCTGTCTCTGTCTCTCCAGCAAGCACAGGTGCCCCATAGCAAAAATATCTCTTAAATAAACAAACAAAAACACAACATTGGCTACTATAACCAGGAAAAATGTTTATTATACATTAGGGAAAAAGAATAAGAAGCAAAATTGTGTATATAAAGCGTAGCTATAGGACAAGTATAAGAATAGAAAAAAGTGGATAATACTAATTGGTTGTGTTAAAGTGCAGGGATTGTACTTTTATTTATTTATTTTTTTGGAGAGGTTCTTTTGCTATAGGGCGCGTGCACTTGCCAGACAGAGAGAGACATAGAGACAGAAAGTGAGAAATCACCCCCCAGGGGGGATGGTCACGCCGCAATCCCTTCTCCATTCTCTTCTTGGGATCTTGGGCACGCACGCATGCGTACCCCGCGTGAGTTTTAAGCCACCGGGTCCAGGATGCGTACCGCGGTTGACTACGTGGGAGTCCAGCGACATAGCCATTACACTAACTGCTGGTTCCCGGGATTGTACTTTCTTTGAATTTTTCTATTTTTTCCAGCTTAAAAATTGCTTTATATAAATTATGCAAAAAAAAAAATTATCTTATTGGTCCCCTAGTTGCAGCCCTTAGCTGTGCAGAGAGAGTTGGGTCCCACATGGCGGTTCAAATCCTGGTCCTGGCAGGAAGGTGGCAGGCATGCAAGCGCACCTGCTCAGCGTCCTAATGGGAAGCAGGAACGGAGGAAGAGTGCTTGCAGCGTGACCAGGTTCTGCTCTCGCACGCTCGCTTTTTTCTTCTCTGTGGGCATTAAAAAAAAGTAATGGGGCCAGCAGGTGGCATGATGGTTAAGGTGCTGCACTCCCACATGACTGATTGTAGTTTGAGTCCCGGACTCGGCAGCTTGAAAACCATACCAGGCACTTGTATGTGGTTGCCCCAAATCCCAGGAGAATGGAGGAGGAGGGATTGTGGAGTGGCTTTTCCTCTGGGGGATGATTTCCCACCATTTCTTTCTGTGTCTCTCTGAAGAGTGCATGTACCCTATGAAAAAAAAAATAAAAAAAAACTGGGGTCAGCAGGTGGCATGGTGGTTAGGGGTATGCTGGATTTCCACAGGGCCAACCACAGTTTGAGTCCTGGACCTGGCAGTTTGCTTTCTCACTTCCCCTTTCTATCTCTGGTCAAATTAAATCGTAATAATAAAAAATGGAATTAAATAATTACTTTAAAATATTTAACAAAGTAGCTATATGCTTAGGAAATATGAAAAGCTAGTAGTTCTTTGTTACAGATTGTTTTCCCTATCAGAAATTGCCTGCCCTTGTTGTTCTTTTCTTTCTTTTTTTTTTTTAGAGAGATTTTTGCTGTACGGTGTGTGCGCTCGCTGTAGAGACAGAGAGAGAGTGACAGAAAGCGAGAAATCACCCCTTGGGGGATGACCACACCGCAGTCCCTTCTCCTCCATTCTCCTCTTGGGATCTTGTTCACACGCGCACACCTGCCCAGTGTGCTTTTTAAGCTGCTGGGTCCAGGACTCGAACCATGGTCTACTACATGTGATGTAACCATTCTGCCATCAGCTGGTCCCGCATTTTTTTTTTTCTACCGTAACTTTTCCAGGGCTCCAGGTAGTCTGGGGTCGATGGTGAGCTCTCCAAGGGTTACTTCTCTCCCTCCACAGGGCCCGCCCACCTTTGGATTCCTGTTGGACATCGATGGCGTGCTGGTGCGGGGCCACCGAGTGATCCCAGCTGCTCTGGAAGCGTTCCGCAGGCTGGCCAACTCCCAGGGGCAGCTGCGGGTGCCTGTGGTGTTTGTCACCAATGCAGGGAACATCTTACAGCACAGCAAAGCCCAGGAGCTGTCAGCCCAGCTGGGGTGCAAGGTGAGGAGACGGTAGTGCACCAAGCCTGGGGCCCTGGCTCCCGGTGGTATCGGGCTCTAGTTCTGGCCCTTTCTCTGGGCTGGAGTGTAGCGTCTGCACACCCAAGGTCGTGAATTCTTTTTGTCCTGTGGGGAAATGACTTGAAGTTCAAGCCTGGCATCATGAGTAGAGCCTGACAGTAGGATGTTTTTTGATTTTGATTGTTTTATTATTTTTTGTTTTTGCTGTAGAATGTGTGCAGAGAGAGACAGAGAGAGAGGAAATGGGAAATCCTAGGAGGGCCAAAGCACAGTCCCTTCTCCTCCACTTCTCAGGGTTCTGGGCGTGCACGCACACACGCCAGGAGTGATTCTCAAGCCTCAGGGTCATGTGTGAGCCAGCACCTCAACCTCTGTCTATGTCACCTAATGGCCCCTTCTTTTTCAAAGGATTATTTATTTAATTTTATTAATTATTATTATTTTAAAAATTTGCTCTAGGGCATATGTGCGTGCGTGTGTGTGTGTGTGTGAGTGTGTGTGTGTGAGAGAGAGAGAGGGGGAAAGTAAGAAAGCAAGCCATCAGGTTAGGGACTTGAACTGGGGTCAGTCTTGTGGGAGTCTAGCCCCTTAACTACTATCTCACCTACTGATCTTCCAGTCCCTTCTTTTTCTTTTATTTTTAAAAAAGAATTATTTAATTTTATTTGTTAATTATTATCATAATTTTTTGGAGAGATTTTTGGTATAGGACGTGTGCATGTGCCAGAGAGAGAGAGGTAGACAGAAAGTGAGACATCACCCCCCAGAGAGATGGCCACGCTGCAATCCTCCATTCTCCTCTTGGGATCTTGGGCATACACGCAAATGTGCCCAGCTTGAGTTTTAGGCCACTGGGTCCAGGACTTGACTATGTGAGAGTACAGCAACATAACCATTATACCATCTGCTGGTCCCTATTATTATTATTATTATTATTTTAATTTGATGAGAGAGTGAGGAGGAAAGTGAGAAAGCAAGTTGCCAGGCCTGGGACTTGAACTGTGGTTAGCCATGTGGGAGTCCAGCACCCTAACCACCATGCCACCTCCTGACCCCTTCTTTTTATTTTTCAAAAATATAGGTATATGGGACCAGCAGATGGCATAGCAGTTATGAAACTGGAGTCCTGAACTGGCCGACCATGGTTTGAGTTTGGGACCCAGTGGCTTCAAACTCATGCCAGGCGCATATGTGTGCATTGCCAAGATCCTGGGGGAGAATGGATTGTGCTGTGGCCATCCCCCCTGTGGGGTGATTTCTCACTGTCTCTCTCTCCCAAGTGACTTCACGCACCCTAAGGCAAAAACGTCTACTATTTATATATATATATATATCAGGCAGGCAGATTGACCGACTGATATATGTGGCTGAGGCCTGGCGTCCTGTCATGTAGCTGGCGGGCCTAGCTTTCAGTCGCCATATTTCTTTCTTTGTATCTCTTGGATTGTCGGTCCCTGGAATGCCAGTCACGATTGTCTAAAGCTGCACATGCCGGGTGAGAATGATGTAATAGATAAGGTGTCGGGTGCAGCCGTCCTCTAAAGCTGTCTCCACTGGCTTGCAACTCCTCACTGCATCCCAACAGTGCCCCTCTTTTTAAATAAATTATTTCTTTTGTGAGAGGAGAGACAGATCAGTATCCCCAGCGGGGTCCCCATGCCATGACCCACCCCCAGTCTCAGCTGGCCTGGCTCGTGGTCATGTGCGCATACCTAGCCTGCTCAGGGAGGTCCCAGGATGCGAACCTAAGACCTTTCCCATGTGGGACCTGCTGTGTAGCCACTGGGCTCCATCCGTCCTCCCAACACTGACTCATTCTTGTTTGGTAGGAATGAATCTAGCTTTGGAGAGCCTTTTGGAACCAGGAGAGTAGGTGAAGTGGCTGGTTGATTGGCTGATACTACTTAAGGTTGAAGGCAGAGGGACCAGCAGTTGGCATAATGGCTATGTCGGGACTCCCACATAGTCGACTGCTGTTCGAGTCCCGGATCCGGTGGCTTAAACTTACACCAGACGTGTGTGCGTGCCCAAGATTCTGAGCGGAGAATGGAGGAGAAGGGATTGTGGTGTGGCCATCCCCCCGGGGGGTGATTTTTTGCTTTCTTTCTGTTTGTCTCTGTCTTTCTGGTGAGCGCACATGCCCTATAGCAAAAACCTCCCCCCCCCCAAAAAAAAAAGCAGAGTGTAAAGAAAGAAAATTGGTGTCCTGCTGTGGTTTCCAGCAGGGTCCCTCAAGTGTTCTGAATAAAGCTGCCTTGTGGGAGACTTCAGACACTAAGTCTGTAAGAACTATAAACGGAGCATCAACGGCACAGGGAAAGTGTGACAGTGACAGGACAGGCACACGGCTGCACTCCAGGTCCGGGCCGGGCTGAGCAGCAGGCCTGAGTGCAGGACAGGCACACGGCTGCTTTCCAGGTCGGGGCCAGGCTGAGCAGGAGGCCTGAGTGGCCGCTCTTCTGTGTCCTCGTGTTACGCAGACAGGGTCTTCTCGTTCCTGTTCAGATCACTTCCGGAAGTGCTGGGTGCTGTAGAGGGCTCGCCGCTTTCCTGGGTGTCGGTCTCCTTCCCCAGGCGAGGGACCCTGCTGCGGACCCTGGCCGTCACGTCTCCCTGTGCTGTCTCTTGGCTGTCGCCGCAGGTGGAGCCCGACCAGGTCATTCTCTCTCACAGCCCCATGAAGTGGTTCTCACAGTTCCATGAGAAGCGGATGCTGGTGTCTGGGCAGGGGCCGCTGGTGGAAAATGCCCGAGCGTATCCTTTTGATCTTCCTGCCCTGCTTGCAGAGGAAGGGGCTGGGCTGAGGCTTCTCCTCCCTTGGCTGAGTGGGGCCCACAGTGAGGGCTGCTGGGGAGCTCGTGGGACGTGGTCGGGCTCCCAGGGAGTGGGGAGAGCTCTGGGGTGGCCATCTCACCCCAGAAGTCTGCAGAGTTAGCCCACATGCCACTGCTTCAGAATCTTCCAGGGAGCCAAACAGATCCTTGGACCGTAGCTTTGGGAGTCTCACTTCACTAGGTCTGGGGTGCAACTCAGGAATCTGTATTTTTTTATTTTAAAAGAATCATTTAATTGATTATTATTTTTAAAAACTTCACCAGAGAGAGACAGAGGAAGGGAAAGTGAGCAAGCAAGCTGCCAGGTCCAGGACTCAAACTGCAGCTGGCCATGTGGGAGTCCAGCAACCCAACTGCCACACCACCGGCCTGTCCCAGGAATCTGTATTACTCATTTATTTATTTTTTTTGGAGAGGTTTTTGCCATAGGGTGCGTGCGCTTGCCAGACAGACCGAGAGAGACAGAGAGACAGAAAGCGAGAAACCACCCCCAGGGGGGATGGCCATGCTGCAATCCCTTCTCCATTTTCCTCTCAGGATCACACGCACATGCACCTGGCATGAGTTTAAGCCACCGGGTCTGGGACGCGAACCGCAGTCAACTACATGGGAGTCCAGCGACATAGCTGTTACGCTAACTGCTGGTCCCAGGAATCTGTATTTTTAAAAGTGCACCTCTCTAGGTAACTATGTAAATGGGTTTAGGAAACCCTGCTCTCGACCTTTCTCTTGGGGTGCTCAGCCAGTGCCCAGTGTGCGCTGGGGGGCGCTCAGCCACGGGAGCACAGGCTCAGGAGGCAGGAGACTTCCCGTTCTCAGGCAGCTTGCTGGTGCGTGCTGAGCTTCTGGGCACAGGACTGCACTGCCTGCTCAGACTGGAGAAGGGCCCAGAGGCGTGTTGGGGGTGTGACCTAGTCAGGGGTATGAACTCGAGGCTGCAGGAGTCACGCAGGTGTGAACAGGGAAGGAATTACCGAGGGCGGCATGCGGGAGAAGCTAAGAACAAGCACTACAGTCCCATGGAGGGTGCTGGGGGAAGGGGATACCCGGGCAGGACCGCTGTGGCTTCATCCAGGGGTACGCTGAGCCCAGAGGACTGGTTACACTCCCAGGCAGTGGGGTCAGGAGATTGGATTGGGATAGTTTGGAGTATAGGCGAGACCAGGAGGGCAGTGCCAGGGGTAGGGAACCTTGCAGGGGAGTCCATGGGCGTGCACTTCTTGGGGCAGTAGCATGTCCGTGCAGGCCGATCTGATGAATCATCACTTTTGGGAAATTCATTTTTTTGAATTATTATTATTTAAAAAAAAATTTTGCTTTAGGGCACATGTACTCACCAAAGAGCAGCAGAGAGAGAAGGAAAGCGAGAAAGCGTGTTGTCAGGTCCAGAACTCAAACTGTAGCCAGCCATGTGGGAGTCCAGTGCAGCTACCATGCCAGCAGGTAGTTCATTCTGATAGTCACCTGGAGGACAAGCAGGTGGAGGCAGATCTTAGTGCAGGCCGCCCTGTGGCCCCCAGCGTCGCTGAATCGGGTCTGCCTGCCCCGTGGCCCCCAGCCTCGCTGAATCGGGTCTGCCTGCCCCGTGGCCCCCCAGCCTTGCTGAATCAGGTCTGTCTGCCCGGGTCCCCAGCCTCGCTCCCCCGTGGCTCCCAGCCTTGCTGAATCGGGTCTGTCCCCTCCATGGCCCCCAGCCTTGCTGAATCAGGTCTGTCCCCGAGGACTTTGGCTCCAGTGCCATCTCTCCCGGACTGACCCCTCGGGAGGGAGTGCCCCCAAGCTCACTATGCAGGGCGATGGTCCTGTCAGGCCTGATGGGCTCTGGGCATTTGTGAGCTCCTGGAGGACATTTATTTATTTTTCTTTCTTTTAAAAAAATGATTTATTTAATTTGATTTATTCATGCATTTTAATTTGACCAGAGAAAGACACACAGAGAGAAGGAAAGTGAGAAAGTAAGCCACCAGGTCCGGGACTTGAATTGCAGTTGGCCATGGCAACACCCAGCGCCTTAACCATCACACCACCTGCCGGCCCAGAGATTTGTTTTTCTTTAATTGCCAGAGGGTGTGTCTGCTTGTCAGGGAGAGACAGAGAGACAGAGACAGAAAGCACCCCCTACTGGGCATGGTCATGCCACAGTCCCTCTGGGACAGGTTCTTAGGTGCCTCTGTTCCCTGGGCTGTGCCATGCATGAACCTGACCCTGGAGCATGCCTGGTGACTGCAGGTGGCTGCCTTGGAACTGCCTGTCTCCCCCGTCTGTGCAGGCCTGGCCTGCTGCCAGCCCTGGGGAGGGGCTGCTGGCTTCTTGGTTTGTGATCAGGCCAGGGTTCGGAGCTCCCCCAGGCATGATGCTCAGAAGGCACTTGCCCTCCGAATTGTCCAGCTTGGCTTCCCTGAGCTTGCTCCAGCCTGGGCTTCCGGAACGTGATCACTGTGGACGAGCTACGGACGGCCTTCCCTGTGCTGGACATGGTGGACCTTGAGCGGCGGCCCAAGACCACGGTAATGAGGAACACAAGTGGGCTGGCTCCCCTCCTGCACCCGTCCTGGGCCCATGTTCAGTTCCTTGTGGCCCCGTTTGCTGACCTCGCAGCCTCCAGCCGGGCCCCTCCCACCCCTGCGCCTGCAGCGTTGCCTCCCTGGACAGGCACCTCGTCAGGGGCTGTCCCCTGGCTGGCAGTCGGCCTGGAGGGGTGACAGGCTCCAGCCCTGTCCTTTCTGCACTGTGAAGAGATGGAGGCCTTTCCCGCCTCAGCTTGTCTTCCGGTCTACAGCCAGCTGTTGCACTCCGGGCTGCC